TTTTATCCATTAAACTTTGTAATTAAAAGTTACAAATTCAAAGTTGGGTTCCCATTATTAGTGTCTGATAGTAAAGGTTTAAATACATTCTACTTATAGTACTATTAACTAAATATATTGGAATTCAATTTTCTTTTATGGTTATTATCCTTACTTGAAATTGAATCTCTAATATAATCACTTTAGGCTAATATGTCTAAAATTTCATTTTGTATATTATTTATATGCTCCAGACATTACTGCTTCGTTCTTATCATTTTAAGAAATAGCTGATTTTGGTTGTGACCGCAACTCTATACTCATAAATTTCAACAATTTTATTTTCGTACTTTTATATGTCTTTAATACAATTATACTTTTAGTACAATTGGATAAACTCAATGAATAAACCAAATTATTTTAGTCCTTTTAAGATTTTTAAAGACTTTTTTATGACTTTATTTTAATAAATGTTTAAATTTATTAGTTTGTATAATTTACTTATAAAATTATACTAAAATCTTACAACACTATAGTAGTAATTTTTATTTTTTTTATTCTTATCACTCCCACTATATGCAAGTATGCATTCTTTTATTAAAGAATATCTCATTCAATTATCAAGATATTACATATACTTAATCAAGTTACCATTTCATTTATCTTTTTCACTATTTGATGATTTTTTTTAAGTAGAAGGCCTCTAAATTCACCCTTAGTAAAAAATAACTAGCAAATATTCTATATCTTAATATTTTTTTTCATAAAAGTTTCAAAACTTTTATATTTTAACTCAACATAAGAGTTTACATTAATAAACAGATTTTAAATATAATCATACTTCTATAGTCTTCTTTCAAGACTTTTAATGTCAGTTCATAAATACTTATATGAATTCATTTCATCATGAACACTATTAATATATATATATATTTACCATATACAAAATCATTTTCATCACCCAAATGTATCAAATAGCATTCCTTTTGTTATTATAAAAGTTTTTACATTCACAAAATTTTTTAATCACTTATGGCTTTCAAAGTAAATATACTTTAAAATTTTTACTATATTTCAAAATTTTTAATAAAATCATAAATGATAAATCATTTGTACAATTCATGAATTAGATCATATACAAAACAAAAAATTACCACAATGTAATCAAGACTATGGCATTAATTTTGGTTTATGACTATTCTAAGCCAACCATAATAATCCACAATATACCTATAAATTATGTAGGTTTGGCTATTAAAGTTATCTCATTTATAGTAATGGCTTTTAATGAAAATCAACTATCTCAAATGTTATCATGAGTTTTCAATGCATATATTAATTAGCCAATAGCCAATTCTAAGTTCATGATTATTAAGATCTTTAAACTTGATTTTAAAATTTTATGAGAACTTTATTTCTTCACCATTTTGTAGCCTATATATCTCTATTATTTACCACTTTTAATTGGTCATAGCATTTTCGAATATATAATAAATTCAAACTTTACTCATATGACCAATATACCTATTTACAAAGAGAATCCATAGTATATTTAACTCTAATTTCAAATATGTTCATATCTAGATCATCATACCCATACAAGTCATGAAACATGAATCCAAAGAATCATTTGCATAAAATAGAATAAACGATAATTATAATATCAATTCAACTCATATTTCATGCAAAAATTCGTGATGAATTTACATTAGTTAAATCACTGATTGACTAACTCTAAGCCTTACGATTTTCACAAACCAATATTGTTATCTAAGCCTATATGTTAATATGGTGCATAACCAGCCACATCCTTACCATTGTCATGAAACTATTGAAAACCTTGAAAACTTGTTCACTTTTCATTATAATAGCTTGTAAAAGGTCATTTTTTTTGGTACAATAAGCAAAAAATCTTTATTATCTTTAACCAATAATGTATTAATTGGATGAAGGCATTATATCTCCATAGTCTATATCTTTCTTATATGTATAAGAAAGAAAATTTCATCTCATTTAGTTCATTTTTGTAATATATGGTAAACTGTACCAATATTCTCCATGCTATCACAAAATGAAATTAAACACATGCATGTATTGGTGCCTTTGAAATATCGAATTTGCATGTTCTTTTCTAATTTATAAACATGCCTAATTAGACATTGATGAGCATCCATCAAAATGTTAGTAACCGACAAACGCTTTAATATTTTTTAATGACATGCCTTTTCATTTAATCAATATCCCATATGCGAAAAGTAACAATACTTTTTTGTAACCATTAATTAACTCTTTGATGGCTATTTATAATTTCAACTTTGTGATTGTTCACAATAAAAGTTTATTTTGTAAAATCACTTCTAGTGTAATACATCTAGTAGGCAAAAATACCTATCACATTACCCATGTTTTTAATAATAACAATTATTTGATTTATTATCTACCAATTAATCCATGAAACACCATATCTTAATAATAATTATTCACATATATCAATTTAATTTTAATTGGTTTTCATGAAAATTGAAAACAAGTCAAAATTTAAACCAATAATTAATTTAAAATATATATATCAACATTTGATTTATAAACGACTAACAAAGATAGAACCATACAAATAGCTTAACTCAACTTATTATTTCAATTTTGGTGCCATGATTTAAAAATAAAACTAATCTTGTAGCTAAATCTTATTTTTTACATATATTTTTCACTTATATTTAATTTTTCATGGTAAATACCTTTACTTATTTTCAATTGTTTATATGGACATGTTTCTATATATACCAAGACATGATAGTTAAATAATCGGTCATTCCATGAGAATTCAATTTAATTCGTTACTTTATAACAAGTGATAATTCTTTTGATCGTAAATCAATTCATGTCTTTCTCTTTTATGTTTTTAGGTTATTTTTCATCCCAGTCTTTATAAACATCAATTTTTCAAATAGATATAATGCAATTCATTAAACCTACTGTGGAGTCAATTTTAGCATATGCATAAACTTATACAATGTAATCAATATTTTGCATATTATGTTTTGACTTTACACACTAATGAAATAAATTGTTAAAGTGTTTATTTCATTTAATCAATCTTTTTACTAGCAATTATGCAAAAAATAAAATACATACCTTTAATGAAAATCTTTAAAAAAATTAACTGTAATGCCCTACAATTTCACATTGAAAGAATATGTGAATAAGAAATAATATGTATGTAAAAATCTAAACCCAAACTTGTGAGACACTTTTTGTGGGACAAAATCATGAGACTTTCGGGTTAAAGTAAATAATACTTCGCAGGTTGGATGCGAGTTTTCGCAAATGGTATCAGAGTAGTCGTCAGTCGATAGGAATTAGATGTTTCATCGTGGGAGTCACTAAATGCTACATGGTGGGGAGCCACCTCTAGAACCCCAACATCTGGTGTGATCTTGGTCCTGTGGTTGGACTCGACTTGACAGGTATGTCAAGCTTTAAAGGTGAGAAGATTGTAATGCTTTCAATTCCACATTAGAAGAATGTATGGATAAAAAGTAATATATATGTAGAAATCTAAATTTAAACTTACGAGGCATCTTTCATGGAATAAAACAGTGAGACCTTCAGATTAAAGCAGATAATACCTCGCAGGTTGGATGTGAGTCTTCACATTAATATTTTGGTCCATAGAAACATCAATCTTTGACACATTGAGCCTTCTTTAATACTCATCTCTAAATCATGTCAATTTCTTTTCCTTGTATGTTCTTTATGCAAAATATAACTTTCTTATAATTGTCGTTAAATTGTTAAAAATAAATAAAAAATAATAAAAAATATTGATTTTGAAGTGTGAAAAATATTTTATTAAAGATAATTATGCCTTTAAGATATAATAAAATCTCAAAATTTTCAATTAAAAGTAGTGAAAATGGTTATACTAAAAGGTTAATTTATAATAAATAACCACATAAACTTTTATTCAAATAATTATGACCTTTTGTATAATCATAATTTTTATGAATAATAATTTATTTATATTCAAATAATTATGATCATTTATTATATGATAATTATTTGTATTTAAATATAATTATTTAAAATATGAATAAAATTAATTTTTTATCCATGTATCACATTTTAATTTACCAACATAAACAGCAAAGGAAAATTATCAGTTGGCGAGGATGGTGGTTTTGAGGATCCTGTCAACATGGAAACCACGTGGCAACCATGGTTTCTGGTTTTACCCAGTGGCGAATCATTTTTTTTTTATTTACTGATTTGGACTCGTCCAAACTCCAAAGAGATTGCTAAGCAGTTTTTTTCCCAGAAATGTCTTACGTGAAAAACGTACAATTGATCGTGCAGAGTATTAAGGAAAGTTGGCTTACTGTCCTTATCTTATCCGCAACCTACAGATACTGTAAAACCAGATAATAAGCATTGGAAAATGAAGGAAAGATGGAAATGAAGGTAGGGTCGTAAGCCATTAACAATGAAAACTATAACAAAAATTCCTAACACAGATGTAGCAACCAGTGCTACTTTTATTGTTAGTAATGAGAAGGCCAAGAAACAGTAGGAATGGAGAGGCCATTGCTGGAGCGACTTGCGTGTCCTGCCTATTAGAGCCAAAGGAAAGCCAACAGTTTTCACTCTCCTTCAACGTTGCAAGTTGTGGCGCCTTGGCCCAACCCTACAAATAAGTACAAGAAACGGCTGGATTTATCCCAAATAAAAAACAGAAACAAAAAAACACTACATTAGTTGCCCGTCGTCGACGATTAGAAACGATGTAGCATCTAAATATCATGTCCAGAAACGGGCTTCAAATTATATTCAACCTGATTTATCTATGCATTCGCAACGACTAGCATCAGCTCCGGCTAGGGAAGAACAGAAGAGAACATCTTCCATCCCATATCTAAATGGCTTTGTAAGATTACAAAAGCACTGGAAAAATTGTTAACACGAACTACCCAAAATGTGAAACAATTTTAGAGATAATTGATGCGAACATTGTAGAATACGCATTGAAACAATCCTACTCACTTTGAGATCCATTTAGTGTATTACATCCCATGAACAATCCTAATCACATTATCTACAACGCGAATGGAAACTAGCCAAGTTTCAAGTCTCCAATTATAGAAAATTCAGCTCACTTTTATACAACAAAAGATTTGAATTTCCTAATCATTCTTCCAAGACAACACCCTCCACGTTACATGAAAAGATTTGAGAGGTATAAGCTAGAGACAATTATATAAAATTTCAATCACACGACAAAGAAACTGATGAAGAATTGCCACTTTAAGCTGAGTCTACTCCTTCAACCTGCTGTCGAGCAAGGTATCTTTCCCTTCGCTCCCTCTGCACAATAGAAATTTACAGCCATAAGTAATGCATATCATACAAGTAAAACATTTATAAGCATTAATTTGCATCAAATAATTACAAGAAAACTTACCCATTCATCTATGACAAGTCCTTCCCCAATAATCTTTGGAACTGAATCCTCTGGAGGCTTTTTGCGTGCCTCAAGTGCAGCATCGGCATCAGCTAATTGGCGCTTCAATTTTTCCATTGCCTTCATAAAGTCACAAGGCACAAACCCATAAATATTTAGGCTAATTAGTTTGCTACAATATTGGTAATTTGGTATGCATGTCAAGTATGGTGCAGGTGGAAAGTATTGACATGCAAATGTCTAAAGGCTGAAGCATGTGCAAATAAGGGCACATATATCTGTGGATAAGATAGTAAGATGCTAACAGGACTTACAGGACAAGAGCGCCCGGGATCTAGAAAAACAACCCGTAATATTTGCTCTACTGCTACTTGATCCTTCTGCTCATCAAACTGCATTCAGATAGGTAGATAAGCAGTCAACAGTGTAGGTGGTAAAAGAACATTCTCAACTGTGCATCAAACAAAGGCATCCAGACAACCCAAAAAATGATTGAAAAATCATGCATGCCTCTCTCAAGATGGGCCCAAAATCAGCTTTTGAACAAGAGATGCTCATCCAATCAAGCATGAAAATTGGGCATATGTCACCTTCAAAAGTTGATTTACAACAATAAAAGGACATCTCAATGACAAAAATGCAAAAAAAAATCTTGCCATAAAGCACAGTAGTTTCTTTAGCTGCAGACAGCAGGTACAAATCCCAAAAAGAAGAATATTGGATATAGAAGCTTTGTTCCATATTGACATTTTATGCTTCAGATTAATACAAGAATCCAATCAAACTATAGCATTAGCACTGCTTATATGTAATGTCATCCCATAAAGTTACTTGTTTGCAAAGAAATTTAAACTATTAATCGTGTAAAGTAAATATTATATGCATCAACAGAATATTACTGTACATTCATCACAAGCTCACAAACATCTAAATGTGATCAAATTAAAGTCTTATTCTTAGTCATCAAGATAGAAAATGGAAATCATGTGAACCATATAAAAACAAAGTTTTATGGGAAAAGTTCTACGCACCAGCTCGGGTACATATTCCATCGGAGCCTTCACCTTGAGACTCATGATTTTAAACTTAACCTTGCTCTTTTGATCCATAGGTTTTTCATTGTTCTCAGGAAGCTCCACAAACTTGAAGACTAGTAAATCCATTCAAAACAGGAGGACGAATTCATAAGAATCTTTCAGAAAATATGAAGAATAGTGAAAAACATATATTAATGCCAATGCATAATATGAACCAGAGGTAAAGGGTTTGCATAAGAGCATAAAGAAGCAGTAATGCCAATGCATAATATGAACCAGAGGTAAAGGGTTTGCATAAGAGCATAGAGAAGCAGTTACCCGTTGCAATGATGCTCTCGCCAGGGGCAAGAATAGCACCTGGAGGGCGCATGAAACAACTCTTTGGTGCTGTTGTTTGAAACTAAACCAGCAGAAACAAAAAGGACTCATTACAAGACTCATCAAAGCAATGGTTATAATATACTACATTTAACCACAACATACCTGCTTCCACATCTAACTCTAACTTATAAATCGTAACATACCAAATATCGACAATAATAAAGAATTACAACAACAGGTGAAAATGAACTGTTTGAAAGGTTAAAGGTGTACCTTGAAAGCAGTATATGACTTGCTGCTGTTTTTTATCCTGACCGCGCTCCTCACCTGTTTGCCAGGCTCATCTTGGAAAAACAAGACAAAATATACAATCAAGAATAATAAAATTGTAATCTGACATTAGTTATTTTACATAGTATATAAAAATAATGGATTTTAATTCTCAATTCATAAATTAAACAGAAAATTTTCTGAATTAAGTCAACAAGTCCTTCTACCTCCTTATTTATAGTCATTTCATTTCACAGTTAAAAAAAAGGATCTTTTTCTATTTCATATCATTAGTAGCAAGAAAAAAAAAATTAAAACTACAGAATTTACAGTCTTTTACCAGCTACTTTAATCAATAATCTTGATTCTCAGAAATCTCTACTCCTAAAAATTTGTCGTCAATTTCCAGAAATAAGCATCAAAATTTTTGCTTTAGCTTTAATCAAACAAATGGAAAATCTAAAATCTGATAATATTAAAAAAGAAGTACATACTTGGAAAATAGAGCTTATTAGCCGGATCAAGCTTGAGGCGACGCCGAGTCGGTAAAAGCGACTTCGCAACGGAGGAAACCGAATTAGCAGAGGCGTGATTGTTCGATCCCTCGACATGGGGTTGACTTTGACTTTGAAGATTCAACACCGAGGAAGAAGAGGTCGTTGTAGCAGTGTTGTTCCCGGTTTGTCGAAAGGGCAGCTTAAAAAATCCCCAAACTTTTCCATCGGACGGTGACTTTTGCTCAGTTTCTATTGCCATCTCTCTCTCTCTCACAAGCGCATGTACGGCACCGTTTTCCGCGTTTTCCCAACTTAGAAAAAAACAAAAAAAAAAAAAACACTTTCCCTGCTATCTGAATCGAGAGCGAGAGAGAGAGAGTCGGATTACAGAGCAGGCAGCGTACTGTATTTGACTCGTAAGAATTTCAAGTCCGTTTCCCCTTTCCTTCTCTTTTGGCCTTTTTAAAGTTTTACCTTTCCGTGCTTGATTAGCTGGAACGATCAACCTTCTCTGTTCTTCCATTTTTTTACTGCTTTTAAGTTTTTTAACTGTCCCAGTTTATTTGAAAACTAACGTTATTCCTCGGTTAATTTCCTTCTCGTTGCAGTTTGTACTTTTGTAGCAGCGGGAAATAGACGTTTCAACGACGACTTTGTGGCGAAAAAAGACTTTGCCCAGGGTTGACAAAGATAAAAGAGCCAGGTGGCAATTGGAATTTTTTATTGACGTTTTTTGGCTTTGGATTTACGTCTGATTTGGTGGGAGCAGCGTGATTTAACGTCCGTCACTTTGCAAGAATTGAGTTGCCAATATACATTTTGGTTTTAAGTGGGGATTTTTTTCACTGTATTTTCCTCCAGATGATGTATGACCCAACATTTTTTTTTTTATTTTCCCAAACCTGTCAACTACACTAATAATTTTAATATATGTATTACTCAATCCAATTATTCAACGTTCACGCGTTTTTATTCAGCAGGAAAGAGAAAAAGTCGACAATTATTAATTACTGCATAGTCCATAGCTTTTTATGCGACACATTCATTGTGGAAGAAAATTAATCATAACTTCAACTATAATTAAAAAAATATTTGATTAAATGATAAATATATGTAAAAAAATTATTTGATATATTATAAAATTTTTAATTTTATAAGTGAAATTAATATGATGATATATTATTTTAATTAATTTTTATTTTTAAATAATATGTATCATTTTATTAATTTTATTTTGTGAAATTAAAAAAAATACTAATAGTATATTTAATAATTTTTCATATTTATTTTGTGTTAAAGTAATTTTTTTAACTAAAACTATTTTTTAACTAGGATTAGTAATTAATTATGTGTCTTTGTAAGTTATCAAGGATGTGATAACGCAACTAATAATTAGTGGGAATAACGCGGAAATTCAATTTGACTTGTAGCGAGCACACATGAATTAGTAACGGCCCAATTCGAGGCAGTTATTGATCTTCTTTAGGCCTCATTTGGATTTATTGGACCTCCAGTCTGATATCTTTGGGGTTTTTGTCTAATCTGATAATGGATCAGTGTTTGGTTAACACACATCCAGTGCGATTGAGGTTAACTCAACCCACTCGAGGTCCAAATTATCCGATAGGGAAGGGGCTACACAAAAAATAGGGGTTAGGATTAAATTGGATCATTATATATAAATTTAAATATAATGTTTTAATAATATTTTATCATTACATACTTTTGAACTTAAATATATACATCATTATTAATTTTAATTTCATCCATTTAATAAAAAATCAATTTCATCTTATAATAACAAATTTCATTCTTATCATTATTTTTAATTTCATTAAAATTAATGTAGACGATAGATTAGTATATAGAGTATAGTAAATAAAAAAGAAAAGCAATTGACCCACACTCGTTCAGCCAAAAAAAAAAAATGCTTTATTACAAACTACCGGGTAAATTCTAAGAGATTAGAAACACTTGAAATGAAAATTGACCTCTAAAATTTCGTTATCCTAGACCAAAACTCAAACACAATCCTGATAGAGCTTGATACTAAAGGACAATTATGAAATAACTTTGTTGATTATTATCCAAGAGCAGGATCAGAACTTCCAGATTCTCCAACCCTCTTTTTTTGTAGGAAACAGAAGCTCAGATTGGGAATTCGGACTCATCCCATTGAAGGACAGCAGAATCTAAATTTTGTTCTCTTCTCAGTTTATCTTTCACAAACCAGTCACATAACCTTCCAGCATTCAGCTCCTCAATTGAACATCCTTCTTGCTCTGATATCACTCTTAGTAAATTTAAGGATGATATCTGCAAACAAATTACATATGGTTAAGTTCAGCCTTAAAAACATGTAGTTTGTTTCTTTACTCTAGACATTTGACAAAGTAATTAAGAAGAGATTTACGGTTAATCGACATAGGAACCTCTCATGAGTGCTTAATCCAGATATTTCAACCAAACCTGCTTCTTCTAGAGACAGGAAACTTCTCCTTTCTGCTTTCTTCTCTCCTTCACCTTGGCTACTACCACATCCTCTTATGACAAGCTTTCTTTTAATAAACAACTTGTTGCCTGGTGAAAAAGAGTTTTGTGTATCAGCTAGTTTTTGAAGCTTTCTAGGATTGGATAGCAGTGGGGTTTGATAAAGGGTTATAGAAGGTAAGTGTAAAATCATACTTTCTGTTTATATTTTCAAACAAAAGAAGATCACAAGAAGAATTGGAGCCTCAATATTACCGAAGCTGGAAGGACATTGAGAAGCAAAGAAGGTTTTCAATTATCACCTAGTTTGAAGCAAGCCTTGTACGTTTGAGTGGTGGAGATGGAGATGGAAATGGGAGCCTGGCGCTATCCGAGCAAATTAGCATGTTGTATAGATTTAGATACATGGGCTCCGGCCTTCTGGGTCAATGGGAAAATAAAAAAGGGCCAGAAAATGGGTTGGGTTAAAACCTTTGATCATATCTTGCTCGAATTTATTTAATGGATAAGCATGTATGCGGATGGTGTTTGTTTGTATCATGCTTGTCAGGCATGAGGTGTAATTGTAATTGTAATTAATCTTTAAAAGAAAAATAAAAGGACAAGAAGCCCTAATACGATAGGGATAAGATAGGATAAATAAATATCGTCATTTATAAAGACCTTAATATTTGTTGTATTTTTAATTTTAATCATGTATTATAATTCTATGGATTACTATATAACAAAGCCCGACTAATCACTACACAGATATTTACATTCATTAATAAAACTATTTTCTTTTTTGTCATTAATAAAAGTATAGAAGCAATTTTTTTTATCAAAAAAAACCACGGATTACGAAAATAATTATTGAAATTTAAATTTAATTATTAAAATTAAATTAAAATTTATTAAATATTAATTATAAATAAAAAATTAAATTAATCTAATTAAATTTCAGATTCATTACCTATTTAAGTCAAATTTAAACTTTTCTTAACTCTCGCACGTCATTGAAGCTACTTCTTCCAATTACTAATTTAGTAAAATGAAGAAAATTTTCATTTTCTAGAGTTAGAAATAAACTTTGCAAACTTTAAACCAAGATAAAAGGTCTTAAACGCTGAGGTATAGTTCTAATTTATCCACTAAAAATCGAAAGCAAAGAAAAGTAAGCAAAAGATCTAATCTGTTAACCAGAAGGAAACTAGATATAGAGACATGATTGATTACTTATCAGGGGAAAGATTGACAATCGAGCTTTAAAATCCTCAACTACTACATATTTGTATTCCTTATATCTAGTAGAAAGATATGTACATATAAGAGTTTTTACAAGTTCTTTTTAATTTTAGTTTAATCTTCTTTAAAGCTCCCTGGAAACATGAGGAATTAATGTTTAGTTAGGACCCCAGCAACTCAAGTACATGACAGTCCTGAGAGACTCCTCAGCCTGCTTGAGCCTTTCGTTCTTGGCAGCTTTGAAAGCCCCCGAATCAACTGTGTTGGAGAAACGCCTTGTTAGCTTGGAGGAAGAAGAAGAAGAAGAAGAAGAAGAAGCAGCAGAATCTTTGAGAGACCTTAGATTAGATTCACACTTTGATGCTTGGTCTTTCATCCCCTGCAACACCCTCATCCCCGCCTGGTAAAATACCCTGCTAGCGTACCTCAAGCTCATAAATAACCAAAATTCTCAAACAACTTTTTGATGAAAATTACAAGGAAATTACAACAAGTTTGAAGTATATGGAGAAGGTGGTTAGGTGTATATATAGGGAGAGAAGGGATTTGATTCAAAGATTGTCTAGGAAAACAACCGGCTTTGGTAACTTCAGTGGACCTTTTTCGCAAGCGGAAAAAGCAGGGAAATTTTATTTTATCAGGGGAAAGTGGGGACCTGATTCTATTATATGGATGGATGACGCGTCTAAATTTTATTTACTTACAAGACATGAAGATTCCAGATAAGTAGATAAGGACAAGCCAATGCATACGTTAGATTTTTGAAGTTTCTCAGGCGGGTTTTATTCGCGATTCTGGCTAAAGATATTTTTTGCTGATAATGATGCTGACGACAAATCGTGATTTGTTTTAGTAACGGTTGACCAAAAAAATACATTATTTCTACTACCAGCTATAAACTTAAACAGCTAGGACTTTGATGTTAAATTTGATTATCAATTTATTAATAATAATAATAATAATAATAATAGAGGCAAGCAAAAATTTAGTATTAAAAACTTTAATTTAATGTAGATGTTCCTTTTATTTTGTGCTTGGCAGGAGTTACATGCAAGATGCATTTTCTTCATTAGATAGGTGCATAATGTATCACGCTTAAATCTCGATTAAATAGTGATATAAACAAAAAAGACATTCCATTTCTTCACTAATGGGGTTTAAATACATCAATAAAAGTGAAAAAAAATTTACTTTTCTAAAAAAAAATTCATGAAAGTGATATACAGTAAGTTAAATTTTAAATTATAACATTTAAAATTTTTTATACTATGATTTTATTTAAAAACCTATTATTCAAAAAAATATTTTTATTTTAATTAAAAAATAAAATATTTTTAACCGCATTATAAAAAAAGTATTTTTTTTTTTAAGAAAAAAAAACTTGCCATGCTATTACATTACGCAAAGCCCAAACGAGAGAAAATCCTGTGGCCCAGTTTAATTTAATCAGGGCCATTTTAAGCCCAAATTTTATCTTATTATCCATTCTGCCCACCCACACAGCTCAGCCAATGGCAGCCGAAGGACCGTTGAATTGAATTCATTCCCATTTTCCTTCCACTCAATAGCCACCAACTAATCACATTTTCTCCGCCGTTGATTTCACTTCAACAACCACCATGATTCCCGCCATGGATCTTCGTCTCCTCCACTCTTCTCCCTGCTTCTCCGCCGTTCGATTCCCTTCCCCTACACCTCTCTGCAGACGATTGTTCATAGTGAGGTCTCTTTTACTCTTTTCTAAAGTTTCAATTCAATTTGTTTTATTTACTACAAATATTTATTTTTCTCTATTTGGCAAAAAAATTCAGGTCGAGTCTTCCTTTTCCAAATGAGAAAGCCAAGTACCACAAAGAACTTGAAGCGGCGGCGGAGGTGGTCGTGAGAGCTTGTCGTCTTTGCGTTGACGTAAGTTAATTCGTTCAAAGATTTGAATCTCACCTCTTATTCTTTAGTCATTGCTTGATTCAATTGCTTGCATTAATTTCAAACGTATTTTTCTTAACTTTTACGATTTTTATTTCTTAAGACTTTTTATTTCCTCATTTTCAAATTACAGGTGCAAAGGTCTCTGTTCTCTGATGAAGGACGAATTATCGAAAAGAATGACCAAACTCCGGTCACAGTGGCTGATTTTGGAGTCCAGGCTCTTGTTAGTTTAGGTACTTATTTTAATGCATAATATTTAGAATAATTTTTGTTTGCTTTATTGCATATTACTAGGATTGGACAAAAAGTTTGAATTTTGAAGTAGATTTTGGTATATAGTTAATTTTGAGCTTTCTCAATTCTGAGTTGTGACTTTAAACTTCATTGTACATTCCCAATGAAAGATATATAATTTATGCTGTAGCAAGACACGTACTGACAAATGAAATGTTGCTTAATTCTTGGTTAACAAGTAAGAAAGTTTAAACAGATGAGATAATGAAACTTCACTTGTGTTTCTTCTTTACTTTCGGTGATAGAGTTGAGTAAATTGTTCCCTTCAATTCCATTGGTGGCGGAAGAGGACTCTGGTTTTTTACGTTCGAACAATCTGGTTGATCCTGTAGTAAGTGCAATATCTGATAAAACGAGCTTTGATGAGGAATCACTGTCACATGCTGATGTGCTGGAAGCAATTGACCGAGGGGGCAAGAATTATTTTGGTTTTGGAACAAAACCAGCCACATATTGGGTATGCCTACAATCTAAATAAGCTTGTCTGTATCATGCTTGGATGCATACTTTATTGACATGGTTAAGTCAACAAACTTGATGCAGATACTGGATCCAATTGATGGCACTCGAGGGTTTGTAAAAGGAAGTCAGGCCTTATATGTGGTATGGTTTGCGTCCTGCTTCACTACACTTAATCTTTTCATTTGAATTTTTGTCTTAGTGCCATGAAACATCTTGTATATTTAGTACATGTAGCACTTACAAAAAACAAAGTGCCTTATTATTATTGCCTTATAGACCTGCATTTGTTTAACAAATCTTACTGATATGGGACAGGATTCAAGATAATAAATGATATTCTGTTGTACATGAATGATGCAGTTGTTTAACATTCAAATGAAAAGTATGGTAATATGCACGCTTAAAAATTCAAAAATATTTAGTTATATATATACGCACAATAGTTTCAATCATAAGTTGAACATTTGCTTTTCTGATTTAGTGTTGACATTTTTTTATGATTGCACTGGTTGGTGTGTGTGTATAAACCTTGTTATTGCTGATGTTAAATGAATGTGTATTTGTTTAGCTTTTAGTGGTGTCCCACTAAGATATAAGCACAACCTTTATTTGCAACCTTCTTGCCTGATGGCACATTCTGAACTTTCAGGTAGGTTTGTCTCTTGTAGTTGAAGGAGAGATCATGTTAGGTGTCATGGGCTGCCCTAACTGGGTTGTGGATACTTCTTACAAGTCTACCACTGATGTCCAAGGTTATAAAAACAGTTCACCTGGATTGGGGATCATTATGGTTGCTCATGTTGGCTGTGGAACTTGGACAAAGAGATTAAAGGATATTCTTGATAGCTCAACTAAAATTTCATCTGACTGGACCAGATGCTTGGTTGATGGTTGTTGCTTGGTACCCAAAGCCCGCTTCTGTATTCCAGAGAGTCAAACATGGGAGTCATTGCCATTATCAATTTTGTATGAAGCAAGAACTGATGATGATGATATTGGGGATAAGGAAATTCGTCTTTTGCCCACATGTTGCGGAAGGTTTGATGTTTTTCTATGGCTATTGCAATGCTTTCCTACTTGTATGATTCTCCATTTAGCTATCACTTCCCTGGTATCTAAAGCACAATACTCTTTTTCTGTTATTTAGTTTTTTTCTCCTTGGTGATGAGAGTTTCTAGATTAAAAATTATTTATTGCATGTGCTTGATATACATCTCCTCTTTGTTCGCAGTTTATGCAAGTACTTAATGGTGGCTTCAGGTCGGGCATCTGTTTTCATTCTTCGAGCAAGGTCTCAAACAGTTATCAAGGTATAATCTTGGTTAACAGTTAATTAAACACACAAATTCATTAGCAACAGTTAACTTATCTTCTCCTTGATGATATAGGCTTGGGATCATGCTGTTGGTGTGATATGCGTTCATGAAGCTGGAGGAAAGGTAACGGCTACACTTCATCTGTGACTGAAAATTGTGGCAGAAAAGATTCCATCACAGATGTGACATTTTCTGGTAGTGATCATTGTGGAAGACATTTTCTAATAGCTTCCTTATTGCTTTTTCTGCATGGACTAATAACATGAAGAGGGAAGAACAAAAACACACATCCATATGACATAGTTAATATTCTATGGGAAAAAAATATATCATAAAATCTTAAGAATAAGAGGCATTCATTTTGACGCCCTCATTTTGTTAATTTGGGGCCCACTTCTCTCGTTTGTCCTATCCTACCTCCTTCTTGTTGAGTTCAGTTTATATCCAATTCCATGTTTCCAGCATCTTGGCATTTGTACTTCTAAATTCAAATGATTATAGTATCATTTTCTATTATAGAGCAATAAATTGACACCATTAATTCAGGTGACAGACTGGAAAGGAAGTGAACTTGATCTCGCTGCAGATCAAGCTGAACGGAGGATCATATATCCTGCAGGTGGGGTTCTTGTGACTAATGGCAACATCCATAATCAGATACTGGAGATGATATCTTCCATTTCAACAGTTGTTTGACACTGAACCATACGGTAATGTATTCCTATACTGTTGTTCGATTCTTTGAATACCATTCAGGTTTCAATAGATCCTGCCTTTTGTAGATGAACACTTAGTCTCATTCACAGGAGTAAATTGAAAAATGAAATTATTCCGATATTACCATTAGATTGTCAAAAGAAGGAATTTCTTCTAGGCAAGTGTAATGTATAATCAGTGCTGATGCGTGTCTTCTTTTATTGTAATACTTGTAGTCTTTTAATTGAAGGGAATGTGAATTTTGTCAAATACACCTTTTGAGCAGCCTTTCGAAAAGTTTAGCTTGTGAAAATTTATGAAAAGGTGTTAATAGGAACGGTGTTTGCCCCATTCTTATATATTTGTACTAAACTCACTGAAGTTGCAAGAAATGATGGTGCTGCTCAATGTTTGCTTTCTGTGTTTTATTCATCCTGTAATTATGTCTTGTTTTGCATTGACAATTCGAGGTGTCTAATAACATTCTTGAATTAAAATTACTATATGTTGGTAACTCTGTAATTAAGCTTCCCTTCCTATTAGCTGATGGTACCTAGGCTGTGGGTATTCATAAAATAAATGTAGGGCAGCCTATGAATTCATTCAAGAGCCTCAAATGTTCCCATTTGCCAACTACGAGAGCCGAAGTCGGTGTTGAGGGACCCATGTTGATCAGAAAACCATTGATGAACTAAAGTGATATAAGTTACAAGGAAGATATTTTTGTCCTCATTGTTAAACTATAACCTTGGCCAAATATCTTCTAAGTTAAAATTTTCACGAGTCGAACCTTATTTTACCTCACCAGGCAGCTAGTGGATTGTCAAGGTCAACGTATGCATATGCTCTAGAGACTTTAAGGCTTTGCTTAATCGGAAATATAAAATGAGATGAGAATGAAAAATTTATTAATAAATTATAAAATAAAATATTTATTATAAATTTTAATTATTAAATTAATAAAATTTCATTCTTATCCTTTTTTTCCCCTTATCAAGCAAAACGTAAGCGTACTAAAATAGGAGAAAAACAGCGGCTTATCTGTGACTTATTATATTTTGATCAGTCGTGGAAAGTGTAGATATCTAGCAACTAAATTAAACTTGGCTTCAAACGAATCCACCCTCACCACGTCTTCAGCTCGTGAATCTGTGCTGATGACATATAAATCACCATAATTACAAAAAAGACTACGTGTCCTCGTGTGCTTACATCGAAAGATAATGATTTTTCTATTTTGACCAGCATTGTATTTGAGAAAGTGCTTCCAAAGCCAAGTGTTTGTTCCTCCTTTCAAATATTTTATACCCTAAAGCAATAATACTCTTAGCTGCTTTCATCATCTAATTTTAAAAAATAAACCAAATATATGTAAAACTCCATTTAAAATAAAGTTCTTGCGTGGTTATAATGTTAATAGTAACAACTAAAACTGCATCGCACATCATCCACAAATGCATCAGATCTCGTATATATCTAAAAATATCATTAATTAAATATCGATGAAATGTTAGCTCAATAATATTTTAATCGATTTTAGAAAATTTTCAATTTCAAACCTTAATTATTACTGAAAAATCAAACAAGGTTAATTTTCTCTCTAAGAAACGGCTTTGACCTTAGAATTTATTATTCAAATGTTTGTAAAGCAATCGAGTGGCTCACAACATATTAAAACTAATAACATTATTAATATCAGAGGAATTTTAGATAATCTACCGAAACGTCTTGTAAAATGAAACGAGGTCGATATGTGAACACGTATGCAACTTCTTTTGGAAAACCCATGCGCAAGCAAACCCTGGATTTTGGACAAGTAATTGCCCAATCGTTCAAGTATAATTTTTTTTAATTAAACTCCTAAATCTCCATTAGCAATATCATTTCGACTACAATAATAGTACTATATCTGATTTGTTATTTTGTCAATAGTGTCTCCATGACACCAAGAACAGAGAACCAAAGCTAAGACTATGCTTGTATTTTGACAATAGTGTCTCCATGACACCAAGCACAGAGACACAAAGCTAAGATTATGCTTGTATTTTATGTTAATCATTTTGAATTAGCCAAGGCTTAATTACTATTTCAGTTTTAAACAAGATATATAGAAACGAGTCTCTTTCTCTTGGTCCTATGGATTTATTTTATTTTAAATATGATAGCCGTAAGAAAGGCAAACAAGCAAGCAAGAAAGATATGACTTGTTCTTTGATGTTTTCAGAGCAGACATCAGAACGTCAGATGTTATTTTAAACATGCCTTGTTGGAAATCTAACGTCTCAGATTCTACCACGTATAAGCTTCAGTATTATTTGATTATACCTAAAGAATCGAGTTTCGTACGTGAGATATCGTCATGCATGCAAATATAGATTATATTTTCAATAATTTGGTGCAATTAGTCATAATCTTCTCAAAAACTTTGTTGAAAAGGAATAGTTTTCAGGCGTGGACCCATTTAAAAGATTCCATTATTAGTTTTTAGTTTAGACTTCAAAGTAGCTTTGAAAATTGCTCATTTAATCTTAATAAACACGTTTTCTCTACTTTTTTTTTTTTTTCTATTCCCTCTGATCTGTTATTACTACATTTCCTGTATTACTTTCTTGGTTCCCTTTTGACTCCAAGAAATTCAAGAAAAAAAAAGGGTTCTTTCCATAGCTTTACAACTGTGAATTGAACAAGAATTTATGGCCGGCTAAAAGGCTGTGGGGGAGAAATTTTCAAAAAGTTATCCATATTATATTTTGAATGTGTCTAAAAGCTAATTTTTAAACCAAAAAAAAAAAAAAAAAACAATATATATAGTTTGAAAACTCTTCTTTTTCTTTTTGGATAATTGCTATAGGAGAATTGAATTTTGTTCCATCAATCACAAAAACAAGTCCAATGTCATCTACATTTTCCCTTAAATTTAAGCCAAAAATTAAGAATCATGGTAAGTTTTGTACAATATCAAGAGATCTTTGCTATGATTGGTTTACTTGTTGCCTTCAAGCTGATGCATTCGTTTTTGTTGTTACAAGAGCTTATGAAGTGTGATTCGTAATTCAATTGAAGACAATCTAGCTAGAAATATGCATGGCTGGTATGTGGACGGAGTGATTGTGATTGTATAGCCAAGTTTTGGATTTCTCTGTTAGCAAGGTGAAGGAGTGTGAACTGCTAGCTAGCTATAGGAAATAAGAACAAATTATACAATGCTGGTTTTTAGAGACGATATATCGATCGCTATCACAAAGCAACTCTTAGTCTATTTTGGAAGCAACCCTTTCAATAATAATTGCTCGGGCGTCGAATTGGCACAAGTCAATGAAGTGGAATTCTTGACGTTTTGCTGGACGGACAGCGAATCATCATATTTCAAATGTGGCTGAGAACAATGTTAGGAGACAAAGAATGACGACTTTTATCTTTCATTGCGGCAATGATAAAATTCAAATACACCACTATTTACTTTGGTTTGCATTATATTCCTTTGCCAATGATTAATTTAATTAAGTTTATAGGTTATTCCCAATCCATGATTTGATTTTCTCTTTGTAAAACTTTTTCGATCGACCATAAGATGAAGCTAACGTGTGCAAGAGTTTTATCCAATTTCTTATAAATTGACAATGGTACTCAATTTGCTCTCAAATGTAGATTCCAATCCGGCCTAGATAGTACCGATGAAGGGTCCCATTATCATTGCTGAAATACACAGATCATCATGAAGAAGCATTTTCTCAATTTGAGTTTGGGTGTTGACAAAGCTAGCTAGCCATCAAAGATAAAATGGTGAAAACATGCTCATTTGAAAAATCAAACATAGGATGGACTAAAACGAAACAGAGCTACGGGAAGTCGTCGTGATGTGAAGCTTTTGTCTTTCATATCCACACAAAAATCAAACTTTCTCCTTTTCCTTGTGCTAACTTCGTTTTTATTGATGTTGACTGAGGTCTAAATACAAAACCCCAAGAAGTTTAAGCTCTTGTGTTAATCTAAATTAAACAAGTTTTACTAGGTGTGTTTATAAATCCAATCAATGGAAAAGGAAATCAATTGAATTATTATATAGATAACAATTTATGACATATATCTTAATGAAAAATTAATATTGTGGAAATTAAACCTTATCTTGAAATTGATTGGAGGAGAACCCTTTTTCTTTTTCTTTTTTTTTTTTTTGGTTTAAATTCTTTTTCAATCCTCTCTATGCATAATAAATATTTTTGTATTTCGGCAAACACCCACCTCTATTATTGCCATCCTCGAATTAAGTGATTCCCGAAAATGACCTTACAAAAAATTATTAAAAGGGAAAAATGATTGCATTACCCTCGTGTGGTGAGAATAGAACTGGTCCAGCAAATGCTGCTTGCACGGGCAAAACAGTCTTTTGGTTCAAAGACTTCGAGTCACAACTCAAATTACCCAGCTTTAGCTTAATAACTCAAGTCAATCTTTGTAAAAATGTAGCCAAAGAAGAGAAGAAAACGAAGAAGAAATAAGGGGCACGTGGCTGTTTCATGTTGGTGACAGCTAATATGAATCCAGAAAGTAAGAAGTGACCTTGGAAAGGGATCGGCATAAATAATTACAATTAATTGGGATTTATTAAGCCCATCCAACCCAAAAAAAAGGGAGATTCGGGGGTTAGGCTTTCACACTTTTTTCTCTAAAGAAGGAGGACACGTCGCCATAGTGATAAACAGAGGACGGTACCGAATCCTTCTGACATCTCTTACCCTTCACTTGTGCCGCTATTTATACAAGTATGTCCCTATACAGACCTACATCTCTTTGCTGCATCATTTCTCTCTTTTCTCTTCAATTCTCTCAACCCCTCTCTTTCTCTCGAGAAGAGCCTTAACCAAAACCAAAAGCTAACATGGGAAGAGTACCTTGCTGTGATAAAAATGGCCTCAAAAAAGGGCCATGGACGCCGGAAGAGGACCAGAAATTGATCGATTATATTCAAAAACATGGTTATGGAAACTGGAGGACACTGCCAAAGAATGCTGGTAAACTTTTACCTAGAGTATATATTTGTTAGTTGGAAAAGTCTTCTTTCATTTTTATTTTTTAATGTGCCTACTTTCTGGTCTGCAGGGATGAATTATTGTAGTTTTTATGGACATTATGCTAATGAAATTTTGAATTTTTTATTGTTAATAACAATAGGGTTGGAAAGATGTGGAAAGAGTTGCCGTCTTCGATGGACCAATTACTTGAGGCCCGATATCAAGAGAGGAAGATTTTCTTTTGAAGAGGAAGAGACAATAATTCAGCTACATAGTATATTGGGGAACAAGTGAGTTGTTTTCCATCTTCCTTTCGCTCCTTTTAGTTCTATTTTTCTTTGTTTTACTATACTGTTTTTTCTAATGTTTTGAATGTTTATAGGTGGTCTGCCATTGCTGCTCGGTTGCCCGGAAGAACTGACAACGAAATAAAAAACTATTGGAACACTCACATTAGAAAGAGGCTTCTTCGAATGGGAATTGATCCTGTAACTCACAGTCCTCGACTGGATCTTCTTGACCTCTCCTCAATCCTAAGCTCATCTCTTTACAACCAATCTCAAATGAACATGTCAAGGGCCCTAGGAGTCCAATCCTTTGTTAACCCTGAGCTTCTAAGGCTGGCCACTTCTCTCATGTCATCTCAAACTAAAAACCAAAATCAAAACCCGAATTTCCTTCTTCAAAATGTTGAAGAAAACCAACTTTGCAACTCCCATGTCCAAAAGCAATATCAGCCGTTTATGCAATCTAACCATCTTCCAACGCAAGTACAAGAAATCCCAGCTTGTATCTCGTTGAATACTCCTTGTAGTATTCAATTTTCTGACGAAGCACAACTCATAAGCCCCAATGTGGACCACTTTCCATCAAATCTTACCGACTTAAGTGACTGGCAAGGCAATGCGATGCCTTCAAATTTGACTGAAGATTACGTGCCGCTACCGCCAAAGTATAACTGTTACGGCTCTGGTCATCAAACCGTCATGGACCCTTCTTCCGAAACCTCAAATTTCCCTTCCAACAACAGCAACCACAGCTTCAGCTTCGCGTCAGTTCTATCGAGGCCTTCATCAAGTCCAACTTCATTGAATTCAAATTCAACATACATCAACAGTAGCTGCATTGAAGACGAAAGAGAAAGCTATTGCAGCAACATTTTGAAGTTTGAAATCCCAGATATTTTGGATGTTAATGAATTCATGTAATTCCAAAATCAAAACTCACAAACAAGAGTTTTCCCTTTCTGTCCATTTTTCTGGGTTTTTTTCTTGGATTCAGTGTGGGATGTTGATACATGTAAAATTTTCGAATATTAATAATTAATTTGTTGTATTTTTCTTAAGCTTACTGTATTAGGAAGCAAAATCCTACTATTTTAAAATCTTTTTATTATAATGGGAAGTTTCCATTATTGATATGTCACTACAATTATTTCTTTTGCTTTCCTTACTTTCTATATCTTCTCATATCTTATTTAGATTAGTCATCTTATCGTATATTTATTCAATTCTTGTCATATGGACTGACAAGTGACTGTTTCCCAAATATATATAAACCCAAAAAAAAAAAAAAAAAAAACCAATAATGAATCAAATCATACATAACAAGGATGCTGCAGTTGGCTCTGTTCAAAAGAGTTATGACACTCTTAATAAATAAAGCTACATCCTTTTTGCCGTTCCCTAATATGGAAAATCTTTGCCTATAACAGGAAAGCTTTTAAAGTTAAAAAAAAAAAGAAAAGAAAAATACTAATTAAAACACTAACCCAAAGTGTTAGTACTTTATTATTATATATGATCATAAAAAAATCATGAGAGAAAGATCTTGGCTTCAAAGATCCCGACAGAAAGTCAAGTTCTGGCCGGCTTTCCGGCAATGACAACGTCGGAGATCGTGAATCCGTCACGTGTATATGCTACCTATAAGTAATTTTGCATGGGGGATTATGGTTTGACCTAAAAAATATAAAAAAGAAGGGGACTTGTCGATCTATTAGCGGCGACCAAATCCGTGGGGGTGGGGACTACCTTTAAAAGGTATTTGTTGCTTTTATTGAAAAACATGGCGAGGCTCTTGTGCTGTGTTCTGTCCCACAACCATTAATAAGCTTCAGTGTCAAACCAAGAACCTAATGTTTAACACGTCATCGTTTTGTTGGACACGTTGGCTCAATCATGCAGGGGTGGGTCCCAAGTAAAGGGGTTTGAGCCTTTGAGGCTTACCGTTTGACCGGGTAACCACAAAACCAGGCTTCTTATCCAGTTTCAGACAGCTACCATGGCTTTGACTGTTCTCCCTCGCCGATTATTTCTTGTCAAATCAATATAATTAGGCTTCATGCAATAATCTTCTTAATCAAATAATATTTCAGGTTAATCATGATTACGTTAATCTTTGGAAGAAAACGAATTTAACTGTTTAGTTTGCAAAAGAATTATGTAGTGCACTGTTTCTTGAGAAGATGACGTGCATACATTTTTTAAATAGAAAAAGTAAATATACCATTAAACTATATACTAAAAGTTCAAGTTTAATTTTCATTTTTGTTTTATCCAATTGTTGTTAATTTTCTCTGGTTTCGGGTCAAAAATTGTTACAAGTTTGTAGTAGAAGAACGTATTTGTTAGTATATGTAGTGAAGAAAAAAAAAAGTGTGTGAAATGTGTCTCCATATAATTATATACGTCTCTTGGCTAAGAGAGAAAGCTCTTGAATATGAACTTTTTTTTTTCTTTTTTGGTTAGCCACATAAAACTGGTGCATGCTACTTTAATTTGGTCATATATATATTTGCATGACCTTTCATGTTTCAACCTGATGATCATGAGCTTTTCTTTTTCGACTTCTAATTCGTAATTATCAAAGATGACTGTCGAAACAAGAAAACAAAAAACATGAAACCTATTGCAACTTTTTTTTTAATGTTTTTTGAAATATTGATGCAAAAATCTTTCACTTTCCTTCTCTGGTCTCATACCCTCAGAAATGGACCAAGTTGTGGCTAGACAACGAATATATATATATATATATATATATATGTATGTATAAATATATAGACGTTCGACATGCTGTGTTTCTTAACATTTCAAGAATAATGTACCCATGCACTTACCAACTTGTAAAAAGGTTGCCATTTACTACTTACACTTAACAGGTAGCTGAGTTTTGACTTTTGTTATATATATATATATAAAAGAAAACAGATACACGAGTAAAGGGTGAACAATGTCAACCGTGCACGTAAAAATTAAAGGGTGAACCAAACGAAATTCACTCACCCCATCAAACCAAACACAGCAGAAATGTCAATAAATATAAAATCGCCACTTATAAGCACACCAACTTCCCTATCTTCTTCTTCTACTCGTGCGATCCGAAGCTCCTTTCCCTTTTTAACCAATCCTCTGGGTCAAACCCCCCAAATCCCATGTAAGCTTTACGTTATTTATACGTCAAAAACAGGTCTTGTTTTTATGGGTCAAAGACCAAACAGTTAGGCACCTCACTTTTCTGTATGTCTTTCTCACGTTCCATATATATAAATATAAATATAAATAAATATATATGTAAAATCCATTGTACAAAAATCAGATTAAAGGCTCGACGTGTCAATTAGCGTAAATATTTTTGTGGTGTAAAGGTACGGTTCTTCTTTGACTATGAGCCGACCAAAGTATCCATTCCTCAACCGCCCAAAGAAATTTTGTTCTTTCAAACATTTTGAATGAGTACTCCCTTCCTTAACGTGGGTTTCTGTCTTAATTTGTCTTTGGGTTTTACTTGCTTTTCATGTTTTTTTTTTTTTTTTTTGTTCTTTTAAATGGCATTCATTGCGGCGTGCACTTCGTGTAAGGAAAATGTGCACAATTGGGGTTAGAAAAATAGGGCCCGGTGACAATTATTTGTCTATTGTGGACATTTTAAAAGATGGGATTATTTGACTAAGAATTCATCTTTTTTTTTTTTTTTTTGGATTTTTCTTCATTAGAATATTGTGAAAGTAATAATTTTAAAAAGAAAGCCTTTTTTGTCTGCTTCAATTACAGAAACAAACATGTGTTTGTGTTAGAATGTTGGTTTCCACACTCTGGGGGGTAAAAGGTTGGCAATTGGCTTTGCTGTAACCTTAACCTATGATTGCTTCAACCTTTTGTTTAATTATTGACGTTATTAATTAAAGCTTAATTCAGATTCCATGCCTTTTCTCTCTTTCTTCTCCCTTTTTAAGGATCAAGTAAAAAAATTAGTTCTTTTACGTATAAAAATAAATAAATAAGTTATTAATTGTGCCTGTGCAGTATTATCTATGTGTGAACGGTCTTTGGCTCTTTGATGTAATTATCAGTTGAAAACTATGGATATATTGTTGAATTATTATTTGTGAATTAATAAACTCAATTAATATTATAAAGTGTTCTTTATATATATTATGATAATTCAAATTAATTATATTTTTTTTAAAGAAAAACACAATATGAGAATAAGAAAAATAATAGCAGTTGTTGAAATTGAATTCTAGTATTATTGATGTCTTTTTTTTTTTTTTAATATAATTGTATAAATTAATTGAATTATATATATAGTTGATATACACCAATAAAAAAGTATGGGGTTAAAATTTTCAAATAAAAATTATCCGCCTTTAGTTTTTTCGAATTCGGTAAAATGGAAATCAAGTTTCATAAATTTTGATGTACATATATATATATATATGTATATATATTCCTACTCCATTATAGATTACCCTAACATTCAATGATTTAGTACAAGGCTCCTGTAATTAGCTAAGCTGAAAGATGCATCAAAATATTTTTTCCCTGGTTTCATTATCTTTTTCTTTTATGACGGAAAGGAACCTTTGGGAGTATCCAAGAGTACAATAATGAAATTAAACTGTCGGTGGGATGGTGAAAATCAACACTCATGATAAAAAAAAAAAAGTCACATTATTGGGTTAGTCAAAGAAAAACGAGGGATATTTCTTATTTGTGACGATAAGAAGACGTTTTGAATGGCTTATATTGTCAGCAAAAGGTACACTTGTCTATTATATCTCCTTTGATATATATAATAATACTCATTGTTTACATAGAGTGTAGCTGGAATTATATGACTCGAAATGATTAATTATGGTCGGTCTAAATCAGCTAATTAATGCCAAAATTACCATTGGAAGGATAGATCAATTTCACCGGCCTATATGGTTTTTTTGCCAATTGGTGCCTGCCAGATAATTGCCATTAGACTATTAATTAATTCCTCCTATAAAATGGGAGCAGCACCATCCTTAATACGTGTTGGATTGCTGTTGAATTCCCTAATAATCCAAAGCTCAAAGTAGACCTTAGTAATAACAATGGTAAAAATAAGAAATAAAGCCTCCCTTAGTTATTAACAATATGCCAGATGCTTTAAGCTTTTGTTTCTTTGCTTCTTTTCTAAATTCAATTGGTTTGTAAGCTTAATGGTGCACTGAGTTACAACAGGTTTTATCTGCTTCTTTTGGGTAAATAATAAGCTTTGCTTAAAAAAACAAATTCCCCATAGAGTACTTAACAGCAATATGATGTATTGCTATCATCACTAGGCCATTTGATCTCTGGATTTTTCTAGTCATACGATTAATCCGATAAAATCATGAAGGGTTTGTTCTGCTATCAATTCTGACCAACACTCCACCGAATTGCAGACTATTGAACAAATCAAAATGAGATATTGAACTAGAAAAAGAAAATTTTGATTCTGAATAAAGGCCTGTCTCCGGTCAAAATTTACGGGCGCCTCAAGAAATCTACGGTTAAGGCTTCTGCTGTTGGGCATTTAAATCTAGCCCATTTTAATTAAACGTATTTTATCTTTTCAGTGCAAATGACATTTGGTCCAAGAATGAACTGTTAGCCCAAAACCCCAAATGTTTTCTGAGAGGGAACCGCTTTTTGTTTTCATTTTCTTAAAAAATAAAAAATATGAAAAAAATATTTAATAATTAAAAATAGAAATAAGTTTTTAGAATATAAAAATACAAATGAATTGAAATATAAAAATAAAAAAATATTTTTAATTATGAAAATAAGGGATGCATATTACTTTTTTTTTTTTTTTGTGTTTTGCAAGTTATTGTATTTGAATATTTTTTAATGTATTCTAAAATTTATTCAATAATATTTTATACATTAATTACAATACATTAACAAGTGTTCAAATATGGTAACTTACAAAACACATAAAAAAAAAGTAATATATTTCTCCTATTTTTACAATTAAAAATATTTTTTTTGTTTTCATATTTCAATCCATTTTTATTTTTGTTTTTTAAAAATTATTTTCATTTTCAATTATTAAACATTTTTTTCACGTTTTTCATTTTTCAAAAAAATAAAATAAAAAATAACTCTATTTTTTGAAACCAAATGCAACAAAATTTAAAAATTTTGAGAACCTAACACTTGCTTTTTTTTTTTAGTAGATAAACTCTTTCATAAATTGAACCAAACGTACGTTTAGTAAAATGTGAAAAGTTTATTAAGCTTAAGTTTGTCATATATATATATAAAGAAAATCAACTTATATTGTAAACTTAAAAAATGTTACACATGTTTTTAATAATCGATTAAAATAAATTGAGAGACAAATAAAAAAAAGAAAACTTATTTATTTTTATTGGTTAAATTTATTAAAATAAATAATTAAAGAAAAATTTAAAATTAATCTCTTGCTCATATTTATATAAAAAATAAATGATAAACCAACTATTGGATTGAGTCCAGCAGGCCTAGAAAAAATGGACCCAACCGTATACGCATGAAATCCACTTGCAAAACCCCCTTTCCAAGTAATACATAAGAATATATATTATAAAATCTTAAACCCTTTTTGTTATAAGCCTCCAATCTCTGTTTTTCCTTCCTCCCTTCTCTCGGCTGTTTAGGTATTTGAATCTGCACTTTTTATTTGCTTAAAAATTATGGGCTGAGAGGTAGAAATCAGCCTTTTCATGCTATATTAAGATTCCCATTTTTTGTGTTTCTTTTCTATCAACCCAGTCAGTGACATATTATACCTGAGGGTTTTTTTTTTTTTTTTTTTTTTTTTTTTTCAATTTTAGTTTTGCGGTTTAATTTGACATGAAAATGACTATGGTTGTGTTGGATTTTTTATTTTTATTTTTAGTTTTGCGATTTAATTTGACATTAAAATAACTATAATTGTGTTGGATTTTGCTATGTTGTATGTCAATGAATTGTATTTTGATGATAAGGAAATGTTTTGTTTTCTTACTGTTCTTTCTGAACTATGTGGCTATTAAAGATTAATCCTCATCTGCGGTAGACAGACAGGGTGTTAGCTATAGCTTTATTTTGGATTACCTGTGTGTAAATATTTTTGCCTTTGCGGCTAGCTTTTTCTAATTTAGAGATAAACTGTTTATCTTACAACTCACATATAGGCTAATGTTGACCATTAGTTATAAGCATGCACACTTTGTTTATCATGTAGATTATTGTTTCTTATCAGTATCTTATCAGTAGTTAATCGGTTGCTCTTTTATGACTTCTTGTCAGTCCCCGCTTACCTTCTGTATATGAACCTACTGTTCCATATTTATTTGATGCTTGGTTTTTGCTCACCTCTTAGTTCTTCTGCAATATGACATCAAAATTTTATTTTTTTCAGCATCGACTAAAATGAATCTCAACAACATGAAAGTTCCTAAGATGCCTGGAGGTGGAGCTCTTCCTGCTCTGCTTAAGATTGGAATTATTGGTGGTCTTGGCGTCTATGGAGTTGCGAACAGTCTCTACAATGTTGAGGGAGGGCATCGAGCTATTGTTTTCAATCGTATATCAGGCATCAAAGATAAGGTCATCATTTTTATGTAATGTTCTACCAGTTTACATGTTTATTAGAAAGTCTCTCCTTCCCCATTGTCTGTTGTTTGTGGATTTTATAGTACTTCGCAAAACTTGCATATCTTGTCAACTTCTATAAAAGAATGGCTAAGGCTATGACTATGGCTTCTCTATGAAATTGACTAGCATGTAGCCTTGTGCTATCCTTTCTTGAATGACTAGATTTTCTGTTTTTTCCTCTTGCTATTGACATTCTTGTTTACTATATTTGTTCTTTTGGTTTAACTTCTGCTTAGCATTATGTCTTGCAGTTTAATGATTGTTTTTTGCAGGTTTATGCTGAGGGGACACACCTTATGGTTCCATGGTTTGAGAGGCCTATCATCTATGATGTTCGAGCAAGACCCCATCTAGTTGAGAGCACTTCTGGTAGTGGTGATCTCCAGATGGTAAATGCTAATTTTCAATTTTTGCATAGATTTTCTTTTGCATGCAAGATATTTTTTCTGTCATTACCTTGTTGCTTTTTTGTTTTCTAAAATGATATTAACTGGACTTAAATAGTTATCATCTTGGCCTATTTTTATTTTTTTTGTTCTATAAAAAACTCATGCTCTAATGACAGTTAGATGGGAGTAGTTTTCGGTAAAAGTTCTGTAGGCGTGATTGACAGGGGTGAAAGCTAGGGGGCTGGCAGGGACCTTCCCTTCCCTGGCTTTTGAATTCTTTGATAATACAGAAAAGTTTATCAATTAAACAATAATAAATTTGAATTTAATCCCCCAAAGCATTTATTGTATGGCCCCCCTTACCAATATTTTGTACAATTAGTATTGTAAACTCTATAATTTTCAAATTTTTAGTTCTAAACATCACTAATTAGTTTTTCTTTTATTATTTTTTACCTAAGCATAATGTTTAAATCCATAAAATTTGAGTTTACCTTCTCAATCAATCTGATAAATATGTTAATATTAATTATTACATCTAGAGTTACATAATAAACAACATTAGTTTAAAAACTTTTTAGTTGCTGTATTTTGCATACAAAATTAATTGTAAATGCAACTTTCTTCTTCCAAGCTTTTAATTGTTTAAAGGTTTTGTAATGGCTATTCTCTCTTTTAAGAAGTAATTATTTGCTTGATGTTATTTTTCTATTCAATCTTTTTTATTGTCATATGGATAATATAAGTTACAGTTATATAAAATTTACATATATTGTTTCATACTTATGAAAAGAAATGTAATTTTTATGCACAATTATCTCTTTTGTTAAAATAGGTTTTTTCCTATTTTTTTACTTGTATGTTTTTTCTTATCTTGGGGCCCCCTAAAGTGAGAATCCTGGCTTCACCCCCGGTGATTGAGCCTTGAGAGCTCTAGAATGGAGTATGCACGAGGCATTTTTCTTTTGTTTCCCTTTCTTGTTGATGCTTTAAGATATATATATGCTTTTCCATATTTATATTAGGTGGAAACTTAAAATAGAAAAATGTTGCAGAAAGTAATGCCATCATTATAAATTAAACCCGCTTCTGAACTATGCTCTGCAGGTGAAGATTGGGCTTCGAGTTCTCACTCGCCCTAAGGCAAATCAGTTAACTGAAGTTTATAGAACCCTTGGTGAGAACTATAATGAGAGGGTCCTGCCTTCAATCATTCATGAAACTTTAAAAGCTGTGGTTGCTCGGTACAATGCTAGCCAACTCATTACTCAGAGAGAGGTAGGTATCCTGCATATTCGTACTTACAGTTTTATAGATGTCCTAATAATAGCATAAATGGTTTGGATTTGTTATGTGATGAACTGTTGTCTTTTAGAATGTTAGTAAGGAAATTCGGAATATATTGACTGAAAGGGCAGCTTACTTCAATATTGAACTGGATGATGTGTCCATTACAAGCCTGACTTTCGGGAAGGAATTCACCGCTGCAATTGAGGCCAAACAGGTGGCTGCACAAGAAGCTGAGAGAGCTAAATTTATTGTGGAAAAAGCTGAACAGGATAAGAAAAGTGCTGTTATCCGAGCACAGGTAAAAAGGATTGATCCTTTCGTATAAAACATAGTAGATGACAAATGATCTGAAACGGATTTGGATTTCAGCTTCTGCTTTGCTTATAAGATTGTGAAATTTCATTTCGCCTTGTATAGGTTGATCATTTTACCCATCTAAAGTGTTTTTCTTCACTGGTTTCCAGGGTGAAGCAAAGAGTGCCCAACTCATTGGTCAAGCTATTGCAAACAATCCAGCATTCATCACATTGAGGAAAATTGAAGCTTCTAGAGAAATTGCACAGACCATTTCAAATTCAGCCAACAAAGTCTTCTTGAATTCAAAGGATCTATTGCTGAACCTTCAGGAGATGAATCTGGAAACCCATCAAAAGTAATTGCCATGTTAAGTTGAAAACTTAGTTACTGCCCCTCGTCGGTTTGTTCCGTCGTGACAACTTTTAATAACATGAGTTTATTTTGTCCAAGGATTAGCGTTCAAACATCACATATGTTCGATTTAGGACTGTTCAGTTGAGGTACAAAAGGACTGTTGGATGTATGTTTTCCTAATTTCCTCCATTATGGATCATCTATATTATCTTCCTTAGTAGATATATTTTCTTTGTCATGATTCACTGAAGTGGTAGGAACAAACTAGGCAATTTTTTTTTGTTCAAACTAAAAGCCTTTTTTTATTCTCTAGAGAATTATGTATATCTTGATTTAAGTAGACCTGATAATTTCTGTCATGGAACTTTTGGCATTGAAAGTTCATTTGCTATTAGTTTCTGCCATCAATTTTGCTTGCTTATCTAGTCGGTGGTCAGATCTGGTAATTGCCAACAACCAGTGATGGTTATATCTATCCCTTAAAAAGAGTTCAAAAATTCTTCGGGGACCAAGAATAGTTATCTATATTTTATTTATTTTAGTTATATCTTATTTATTGTTATTTATTTAAAATTACGTTTATAGATATAAGTATTTAAGATTAACAGTTAGAATTATTTAAGTTTATTATTATTTAGGTTATCATTTATAAATAATAGATATTTACTCTAATTAAAAAACTAGGTAAAATTAATTTATAAATTGATTTTAGAATTGCGTTTGCAAATGCGAAGAAGTTTTAATAATAATAGAAAAAAAAAAAAAAAACAGAGTTTGAGATCATAATAAAGATATAATCCTCTCAAATAATTGTTTTGAAATAATGATAATACTATGGGTTTAGAGAGTCAATAATGAACAGGGGAATATTTATCAACAATAAAATTTGAAAATATTACATTATTTTATAAATTTTAATATATGCAGATATCAAAATAATTATATTTAATTGAGATTGAATAATGAAATAAACTCAAAATAAAAAAATAAATATATGAAAAGTAATTATACATAAACAATGTAATTTATATAAGAAGAGTTAATGTCACGAATGATTCATGAACAATAATATATGAAATATTCAATATGATACTTGAATTTTAAAAATTTTTAATTTGATATTTGGACTATTAATATATTAACTAATGTGAAATTTGAAGAATTATTTGTTCCTTATATATCATCATTTGAAATTAATCACGTTAGAATTGAATATCATATTAATTAATAGATTCGTAATTTAAGTACCATATTAAGGATTTTTAAAGTTTAGATACTATATTAAATATTTTATTATAATTTAATAGTCATTCTTGATATTAACCCATATAAGAAAACATATTTGTAGGCATAATTGATTTTTTTTTTTATCTTTTAAAAATATTTATATTTTATTAATAACTATCATATTTGTATCAATATTCATGTTATCGATTATAAAAAAATATTTGTGTTATAAAAAATATATTAATGGTTTTGTTATCAAATGATTTATTTATAAAATTCAATTCGATTACTAATAAAAAAATATTGTAACTTATATCAAAGTTTGTTCACTTAAATGATTATGTATAAATATATAACAATATATAGAACATATATAGGATTGAAAATCATGTTCATAATATTATATAATAATAATTAATATTAATTGAATATTTAGTGATTTAATTTTTTCTTAATTTTTATCTTGATGAGTTAATACATGATCATTTTTATCCGAAGATGATTGAAATTTTTAAATTGTATTAAATTGTTCATCTTTTTAGATATCCAAGTGCTTGAACGATTTAATTTGAATTATTTAAAGTAAAAAATTATCAAATAAAAGAAGATAAATTATTCTAGGTGAATTTTTTTAAGATGGGATAAAATTTATTGGACTTATTTTTGAAAGCATTTATGCCAAAATTACATTCATTTATAAAAATTTATATTGCTAATATTAAAAATAAAATCATTATAAATTGTATAAATAATAGATAACAAGTTTGTTATTACTGACTTTAATTTTCTTAAAAAGAAAACATGACAAGAAACCAAAACCAAGTTAGGAATTTAATATAGTACTAATTCTACCCATTTATACTTTGTTTACCTATTCAAAGGTAACAAAATGCAAAATGGTGATCCCTGTGACTTCACTTAAAGTTGGGGATGAACTTTTGCTAAGGTGTCACAAAATAACTGTGATGTACTGAACCAAAAAGAAGAAAGAGAAAGAAGATGGTAGAACATGAAGATAGACTAAAAAGAATAGAAGGAATAGAGGGAGTAAAAGCAGAATTTTGTAATTCTCATTCATAATTTCATCTCGTTACAGCATTGTCTCTGTATAAACTCACAATTTTCCTACTTTGGCTAAATGCAAGGATCTAATGAAATTGCAGCATCTGACAGCTCACAATAACTAATGACAAATAGACAAATCAGCATATTAAACGGTTTAGCTAATTTTCCATGAACCTTCTTGCAACAGTCTTGTTATTTTGCTTGCCTTTATTTCCTTCTTCCATTACTGCCTTCAGCTCAATTGCATACTGGCCATCCTCGATATTCCCTTCACCAGATACAGCCTTCTTAAGCTCCTTTGTGTAGTACCCTTGATCAACCAACCTTAGAGCTTCGTTCTTTGCTGTTCCAGCTTCCATCATAGTAACAACAGCTTCATTCCTTCTTGTTCCAGCTTCCATCATTGTAACAACAACCCATTTCATAACATTATCATCCCCTTCAAAAGATCCTTGTCCCCAAGGATCAAAGGATCGAAGCAATGAGCTCAACACTGTAAAATCTTCCCCATGTGGTGTTTTCTGGCCTTAGATTGTACCCCACCATTAAGACTTGAGTCATACTCTTGTTGTTACTCTTAACTATCCTCTTAACCATCACAACAGCAAGATAAACTAATAGTTGACCATCTTTATTGGTTTTTGGTGACAGGCATATTAGTTCCTAAAAAAATTATCACCCAATGGACAATCATGCAAATTGTCATTGTTTTTCCTCTAACCCGACCAACAAACATTTTTGATATGAGGAGATTGAGGACTGATCCAGCACCAATAGCAGAGGTCAAGATAAACAACAGCAAGCCTCCAATAGAAAGATTGTTTCTTGAGACTAAAGAGTTAGCTGAAGTTGCCTAAAGAGCCACTGCCACTACCATACAATGACGACCATAACATAGCTATGAGAACTTGATTGGATCCACATTTTCCCTTCTTTCTGACTTTGACAATTCAACCATGGCACCTTTGACACATCACCCTCCCAAAAGATTGTTTTAGAGAGATATTTATAAAATTATCCCAACTTTAGATAAGTTATGTATGAGAATGAATGAATGCATGCAACAAGAAGGATTTACCACATAACAATTGTTAACAAGAAAAATCTTTATTGAATTAAAAGTTATTTCTAACTAAATTCAATATTACATCCATAAAAGTCTAAAGTTTATTATGAAAAAAAATCTCTAATTTGTCGATATTGACCTTGTACTTCATTGAGAAAATCTAGCAATCCTTTACCATATAATCCAACTGGTGACACCCTTGTCTTTCATTCATCGATTTTTTCTACCATGTCATTGGTTTTATAAGTAGCAACAGTGATTTGGTCAAGCAGGCATTCCAATTGGTTATGCTGCCTCATATATGCTTTTTTTACTTGCTCAAATTCCTCATTCAAAGCCTTCATTTGTGTTCCAATTTCAACAACAACCCCTTTTAGAATTTGAATGTGTTTTTGTGCTTCAGAGAGTATTTTTTTTTTCACTTTTTTGCCATTTTTTTTAGGAGTTATACCAGCTCACAAGTGGTGGATGATTGTATTATGTTAAGGTCAGTGAATAAACTCTTCCATTCATCCTTTTTTTTGTTAGAGTGCTTGAACCTTGTTATCCATTCTCCCCTCTAATTCCCTTTTAAGCCTTTGGTTTGCAAGCTCCAATTTATCGGATTTCATTTTTGTCAATAGGAGATTTTGCTAGGCTTTCCGTAGATGTAATCAAGATTCTTTTTGTTAAAATTATTTTATGGCAATCACTCTTTATGATAAGTTTAATGATATTAATGCATGAACATATAGTGAAAGCAAGACATTAGTAAACATGATATTTATAAGGAGTTTAAATAAGAAATGTCCTTCATGTGCCCTATTTAGGATTTTTTATACAAAAGAGTGGGTAAGGTTTTAACTTAGGTTTAGATCCTTAGGGTTTATCTACATGCTAGGTTCAAAAAGTTTAACAATCTAAAAGCTTTCAAATAATTCTTTATATTATCATCTATTGCAGACTAATATGACATCTAACTAGCACTACGTGATGACATTAGCTAGCATCTCACGTAGCAAATGAAATACTATAATAGAATTCTCTCAAAGTTTAGAGACCAAAGACGAAATTATCTTAAAATTTTATATATTTCATATATATTTTATAAAATATTAAATTTGAAATTATATTTGCATATTTTTTTGTTATAATATAATTTACTAGATAGATTTTTGTTTTAATCACAAAATAGATATTCAAAACTTAAAATTAAGTTAAAATTTTCAAATTCATTTTCAAAAATTTAATTCATTAAAAAATTACTAAAAATATTATTTTACCCCTAAGTCATAATAAAACATATTATTTTTATCCAAAAAATTTATTTTTAAAATATTAAATGTCTTTTATTTTTCCTTTTTAAATATATTTTATAAAATATGTTTTATAAAAAGGAAAAAAGAAAAAATGTTTTAAATTATATATTTTATTTTATATGAATATAAAGTTTTTATATTTATGAATTGATTAATATATCTATTTTTGAAAATGACATGAAAATTTTGGCATAATATTTTAACATGATATAGAGTTTTTATTTAATTTCTTAAACTGATAAAAAAAATTTACTTAATTTTTTAAAATGATATGTAATTTTAACAATATTATTTTAAAATTTTTTACTTAATTTTAATATTTTAAAACTTTATTTTCTATGAAAAATATTATTTTATTGATAAATTATATCATAATAAAAATTTAAAAATATTTTAAATTATAATATTTTATAAAATATATTTGAAATATATAAAAATCAATTTTTTCTTGAATTATTTTTATCTTTTCCTTTATTTACTTTTTATAAAATATATTCAAAAAAAGAAAATAAAAAATATTTAATATTTTAAAAAATGTATTTTATGGATTGAAATTAATATTTTTATAATGACTTATGAGTAAAATAATATTTTTAATAAAAAATATTTTTTTGTTTTTTAAATGATATTGA